TCCCCACCTGAAGCCCAGCAGCAGAGCCAGGGCGAGCAGCAGTGCGCACAGGGACACGGAGTAACCCACGGTGTACATCACCTTGAAGCTGCCATAAGTCTTAGCAAATATTTCCTGTAGAGGGAGGGAGGGAGCAAGTGAGGGCAGGGGTAGGCAGGCAGGGATCCCCACACCTCTGCCTCCCAGCTCTGCCCACCTGAGCCTTCAGTTCCTCAGGGTCCAGCTCACACTGTGTGGCGTCACGTAGGGACTGTCCCCGTGGCCCTGTCACCCACTGCCCGTCTGGCCCGCAGGTCTTGAAGACGTGTCTGTGCTTCACTGTGAGGGGAGAGGGTGATGGATTGTGCCAACCCTGGAGACCCCATGGGCACCATGCACCGGCCCAGGCATGACCACCTGCTGCAGCATGTGCACATGCGTGTGCACAGACCACACAGGTGCAATACACACTCCACAGGTGCATGTGGACACACACACCTCCAGGCTGTTACCTTTTTGGTACCAGGGCAGAAACCAGGGGCAGGGCACGCTGGCCGTGCTGTTGGGTGCTGTGTCAGGCCAGCATGAGAACTTGTCAAAGGTGCGGTTACAGACCAGCTCTGCGGAGAGAGAGGAGCTGGTGGCACTTGGCCTCACCCTCTCGAGGCACCAGGACCTTCACTAGCCCCTCTGCTTTGTCCCCACCCTGCCAGGACCCCATGCTGGCTGCTCTGCCCCATCCCCATCCCAACAGAACCCCCACCAGCTCCTGTCCCCATCCCATCCCACGGGGACACCAGTGGACCCTGCGGGCACTGACCTGTGGGTGCAGGCAGGAGGCTCATGTTGTGCTGGCACTCCTCGCTGTACTCCTTCCATCTCTCGAAGAGGATATTTGTGATCTGGGCAGAGGGGCCCTGGGGACACCGGGAAGTGTCACTCACACCCTGCCCAAGGGGGCCACTGCTGTGCAGGCAGCAATCCCAGCTTGGGGACAGCCACGGGCGAGTGCAGGCTAACAT